TGTGTGTGTGGCCAGCTCAGCCCACCAGGGAGCGGGGCTGGCTGGCATGTGGTGCTGGGGGATCGAACCGTGGTCCCTGATGCTTTGCTAAGCTTGTTCTAAGCAGGTGCTTTAGACCACTGAGCCATCTCACCAGCCCCTTAACTATCTTCTATATCTACATACTGTCTTCTGGTGCAAGAGGCACTGGAATGCTGTTGATAGTCCCTGACACAGAGTAAGGTTCATAAAAGTTTATTGGGACCGGGGAGATAGCTCAGTTGAATAAACGCTTGCCTGGCAACTGTAAGGGCCTGAGTTCAATCCCCGGTTCTGCAAAAAATAAAAAATAAAAGTTTGTTGATAAACGTAATAATGTCCCAGTCTGTCTGTAGGTTGGTAATTTGGACCTGGCTTAAGCTTAATGTGAGCTCCTCTTAGCATAATTGAACATGCACCTGTGTGCTTAGCAGGACAGCTACCTCTTCCCATAGTTATTAGATCTGAACTTATGTAATTAACCATAAATGGCTATGTAGAAATAGCATCCAGGGCCGGGGAGATGGCTCAGTAGGATAAGCGTTTGACTGGCAAACACAAGGATGAGTTCAACCCCCGGTTCCGCCAAAAAAAAAAAAGAAAAAGAAAAAGAAATAGCATCCAATATAAAAGGAAGGCTGTCTCCACAGTGTGAAAGAAATTTTAAAAGGCAGTTATTTCTACCAAGTCTTACTAGGAAGTAAAAGGCAAAGCTGACATAAAAGTCTTTGATTCTAAAACCTATAAGCATTTCCCATGACTTTAGTGATCTCAATTTATTTCGTGAAATGATTGGAAAGATGGTGTTATAATAAACTGACAGCCAGGCATGATGGCATTTGCCTGTAATCCCAGCACTCTGGAGGCTGTGGCAGGAGGAAGGACTGCGGGGAGTTCCAGATCATCCTGGATTACAGTGAGTTTAAGACCAGCGTGAACTGCAGATCAAAACAGTCTGAAGTCCCCGCCGCCCCCCAAAATGAACAGAAAGTGACAGCACGTTAATTTTATCCATTTCCTTAGTAGCTAGCCCGATTAGGAATGTGACGCTGATTTTCGCCCTTTCCAAAGCAAATCCTTCCCAAAGAAAAACAGGAAGCGTGTTCTGAAAGTTTTATCTATTCCTTCACTTTTCATCCAGAGAACGAAATCTCTTAAATACCTACTAGCAGGGTTTTTTTTTTTTTTTTTTTTTTTTTTTTGTATCCCCTTTTCCTACTAGCAGTTTAATGACATTAAGGTTTTAGAATCGGGCTGACCTCAGAGGCCGAAGAACTGCGATTCCGTGGGAAGACTTGTTTTGGCAGGATTTGCACCAACGATTATTGTACTTTGTCAGGTGTAGAGTCCAGGCCCCAGGGCAAAAAGAGAAGACCGCGCAGGCCAGGCAGCAAGCCGCCACGGCTCCCAGGCCCAGGGCGGCTTCCTCGGCGGCTCCGGGGCTTCCGTAGTTTCCGCTTCCGGCGTCGGGCGTGCTGCGGCGCCGCGGAAGCCTGAGGGCGCCGCGGAAGGAGCTGGACTCCGCGTCGCGGTGGAATGGCGGATGGTGAGAGAACGCTTGCGCGCTATTTTCCTTTCTACACTATTTTTCAACTCGCAGCGCAGCCCCTTCTCGTGCAGTGAACGTAAGTTGAGTCCCTGCTGCGCGTCTCAGCTTCTTCTGCCCTTCCGGGTCCGGCAGTGCAAGTCTCATAGGTGAAGCCAGCGACGGTTCTTCTTTTCCATATGCTCCCGCTTGTGCTAGCAAAGAGAACAAGGGAGTCCCGGTAATCATACGCGCGTACTTTCCGAGACCTGAAGGCCTCCACGTGCCCTGTCTTGCGGCTCCCTGGGCGTTTTCCATTTTCAGAGTTGACTAAAACGCGCAGTAACAAGTATATATTTTATTGTTTCGTTGTCTTACCTGATTTTTGTGTAGGTTCTGCAGAGTGAAGACTTAAATCCGAGATCATGGCAAAACATCTGAAGTTCATTGCCAGGACTGTGATGGTACAAGATGGGAACGTGGAAGGTGCATACAGGACACTAAACAGGTGACTGTTAAAAGGGTCAGAATCGTGCCTAGATCAACTCTCTGGGAAATACAGTGGTCATTCTCCATCACTGGTGTCAAACCAGGCCGCTGAATTGAAAAGATAGTAGGGGTGTCCTCTCAAAAGTAATTCTTTTTTTTTTTTTTTAAAGTCATTTCTTTTTTTTTTTT